GAACACAAAAATCGTCAATCATCATCACCACAAAGATAGTTCAAACACTTCTTTTGTCCTAAAATGGTTGTAGTTTTTTGACCGGACAAAGGCTATTCTTCTTTGTTACGAATACAAGTAATATATTCAATGAATACACTTATTCACTGAATATATTCATGCTTTACAACAATGGAAACCTAATATATATGTAAGTTACCCTGTTTTCATAATAATAAAGTGGAACAGTATAATAATGCAATCAACTTCACATTTTTAAAATTTTACTTTTTGTCTTTTAGTTAATTACTATCTATGTGTCCACACTAAACACCCGAATATGATGCAATATGCTTTTGTCTTTATTTTGGTTAGGTTTTTCAATTTATTAATACTTGCCGCAGCAGAGGCATAATATGCTTCGGTACATATTGACTGCGCGGAGGCATAATGGTTTAAGCGGTCCCCACGATCCCCACATGGGACGACACTTTGTGTGAGCCACAAATTATCGTTCTGAGTCTGTGTGTTCTTTGTGTCCGTTTCGTGTATGTTATTTTAAAGTCCTCCGCGACACAGGATATATTCATAGTGCGGGAGTTGTCATTTTGAAAAAAACATAAAAATATTATGGGCTGACTCGACCGGAGTGAAATGCTTGATACCACAAAAGTGATGTCAAGCTAAATTTTTAGTTAAATTTCACCAGGTAAGTAAGGTTCCTGGAGGACTAACAACCTCTCCCGCCCTTATTCCTAGGAGGAAGCCATCTGACAATATGTGTACAAAATTTCATGATTGATTTTACGCCTTGACGGGCGTACGCTACGCGTTTTAAAGTTTTATTATCAACTAGCAACGTGGCACATTGTGTTTGTATTGATGAGAAACGAAAAATGGATAAGAAAAATCTTTGAAGCGGTTTGCACAGCGTGACATATTTGAGCAAAAAAAAGCATACCATTTTTCCATACTAATATTAGAAATGCTAAAGTGTGTCTGTCTGTTGCCTGTTGTCCTCTTCACGCTTTAACCACTAAACCGATTTTAATTAAATTTGGTGTAGTGATACTTCGACTCTTGTGGAAATACATAGGCTATCTCTTACCGCGATAACCGACATTTACGCGGGCGGAGCCGCGGGCAATAGCTAGTATCATATATAGATTAGAGCTTGTCTTGCTCCATTTTTATTAATTATCTCACAAATTTTAAGACGACATTTTCTACTAATTGCATTAAACTTTAGTCTGGTCCGTTAAGTAGATCAAGTTATTAAATGTCGGAATTATTTAAGGTCAAATAATTTGACTAAGTTACTTTCTTTAAGATGACATAGACAGCTGAATATAACTAGATTAGGAAAGATCCCTTCTAATAATGAACTATCACACGTAAGGTCGCACGTCAGCGCGTTGCTCGATCACACGAAGTGTTTTGTTCAATTTTGGCCTATCAACTTTTTTGGTACCTAGTCAGTGTATCATTTTTTTATTTTAAATATTCATGTTAATTATTATTATTAAATTAAGACAACCCTAAAGACATCAAAAGATCTAAAAGCGACGCAACAGAAAAAAAGTTTAATATACTCTAGGTGTAGGTACGTGTAGTGACGGATTAAGAATACGGAATGTCGCTACCCCAATTCATCCCGTGGGAGTCGTAAGAGCCTACTAAGGGCGCAGAACAACGCAGGACACCAGCACTGCAAAAAGAAGGAAAACTTGACACAACCCGTCTGGCCAGCGTGGTATAGTAGGCCAAAACCTCCTTTCTAAGGAGAGGCCTGTGTCCAGCAGTGGACTGTTAAAGACTGTTGATGTGATGTGATGTGATAACTCTAGGAAATAGTAACTAGTGTGCAACCTGATGTGAACTTTATTGTAACTTAGCAATAGTAGTTATTTATTGAAATAGTTTTGCAGAGCGAATCTTCTGTACTACTAGTAAATAATCGATATCATATCGATAGTAAACCATATATGACACGTCTAAACATGATTTTTATTCTCGAAAGTGTTGTGTGTGTATTTGTTGTCTTACATATTGTGAACAGGAATTACTCTTCACCTTTATTAGTCTCATGTGCACGCCTGTCCTTAATCCATTTCCCTCACCCACAAAAGAGCTTGAAGAAAATTTATATGTTAAGGGTAAATTTACGTACAAAACTCGTCAACGCTTAACGTACTCATGTCGTGGAGAAAACAAATAGACGCTATGACAACAGCTGATTTTTTACACCAACTCACTTGTTTATGCTCCTGAGAGTTGAAGGTATCTGGGAAATTATGTAGTACGTATTATATTTTTCTTTCGTACGAATTATGACCATTATTTGTACTGGTATTTGTTGTTTTTACTACATGTTCAACACGCTATCATGTAAAATGTTAACCTAAAGCTCAATAGATGGCGTTAATGTCGAATGAGATGTCACCATTGTTATGTTCACAAGGCCGACGTAAATAGGTATTTGTAATTTGTAATTGGAGAACAATATTATTACATCAGTTCAGTTGACGAGTTGTTTTAATTCAACCTTCAGCACACCCAGTCCAAGTAGTGTTGTTCCACCGCGAATATCGGCAAAGGCCAAGGCTGATATTTGTACACTACACCTTAAGTAAGTAACGAATTTTGCAACTTAGAAGAGAGAGAACTCATGATAATGTAGATTTGACTGGTCTACTGCTCTAGTGATAACTACCCCTAATTGGTAAGCCAGAGGCTGTGGGTTAGATTCTCATCCAGGACAAATAATTCTGTGATTAACATTATTATTTGTTCTGTGTCTGGGTGTAATTTATCTTTAATATTTATTATGAAATATATAAATATAGTATGTTTATCTGTAGTCTGGTTACCATAGTACAGGTTCTACCTAGTTTGGAATCAGACCGCCGTGTATGAGAGATGTGAGGTTATAAATTAATAATATTGTTATTATTAATTGCAAAAGAGGCCAGTTTACATCTCTTCTAGTGGCTTTTCAAACCAAATTAACCAATTTGGGCTACTGCATTTGCCGTCCCGTTTTTCCTTCTTCTCTTCCTCTCCCATGTAATATCTCAGAAATCTTTTACCCTAGTTCTCTCGCCTTATCCATGCATGCATGTGAAAAAATGCATATTTCATGATTTCGCCTTCAAAAATAAAAGTTAGGCGAGTTTTGAAATAAGTAACACCTCAGTCTGTACTATAATTTAATCACGACAAAAAAATAAAAAAAAAGATCATCTTAGGTAGATACTTTTATTATATGAAACTGCTAAAGTTTTATGGATGTTTGTTATGCCACAACGGCTAAACTGATTTGGATAAAACTTGGTACAGACATAGGTTATAGTCTGTAATGGTACACCGGTTACTTTTATACTGTAAAACTTAAATAACAAAGCGATAGTAACATAAAACCGAGTAAACTAAATGAGATGCTAACATTGTGATTTAAAAAAAACACGACATTGTACTGTGTTTACTATGAATAACAACAATACCATATACAATAGCTTAGATATTACACTACCTGTTGATTTATAACAAGTGTTGTTTTAGTCGTGATTCACTTAAACGATATAAATGTGTGTATATATAAGACAACAGCGTCTCCTCGACTTCATTAGGTAGAAACTTTGGACTGTATTTAATCTAACAAAATGTAAGTCTAGAAAGTTCTTTCTTATTTTTATTCCGTGTTATGTTCGTATTAATGTCAATTTTGTCAGTACATTTACTGACAAAATTGAGACTTGCCGCTCCAGACTATAGTCAATCTCTGTGACAAATTTCGTCAAAATCCTTCCAGCCGTTCCAGCATAGTTGCGTGAGAAACATCCATCTAAGTTAATAACGAAAGTAAGTTCTGCCACCAGAGGTCCCCACTCGTCACATCACCGCCAACGTCCTCTACGCTCGGGATCAGCCCTCTCCCGATCCCGTTCAGAGGTCTCTTTCTCGAGCTTCACAGAAAGGACAACTGCGCAACAGCTCTCCTTATTAGCCAGCATGGCAGCAATAATTGCTGGCCGGGACAGGTCTCGTCCGGTTTGATCGACCAGGGTTTAGTGTTCAAACCAAAGGCAGTCTTACAGCGTGTGCTTTCAGTTAGCTGCACAGTGCTGGCATTGTGCCGTCTCCTCACATCCGATACGATTCAGGTACTCACCGAAGCAACCTGCGTCAGTCGGTAGGTACTCGATCCCTACCTGCCCAAGTTTCGAGGTTAGGCAGAACAGCAACGACTGTCACCGCCTCCGACGGTATGGCGCAGTATCCCCGTACGATTTGAATGTCCGCTACCCGCAGACAACCTTCTCCGACAAGGAGCGAACGCATTCGATCGCATCCAGCGAGCCGACTCGCGAAAGGTGCTTGTTGAGAGTTTCATACGGACATATCGGTCAGAACGCCGGTCGGGACCCACGGTCTGAGCTTGCCATGAACAGTTTTGTAAGGGGGCTACCATGAGGCCCTGTCCAGTTCCTCTATGAGCTCCTTCCAGAACCAAGCCTTGGCTTTCGGGATTGCAATGCTAATAGCCTTTGCGGCAGCGCCATACTCTTTTACTGCAGCGATCTCCTTGGCTCGCTGAAACCCGCGGCGGGCTCTCGAACACACTGTGCGAAGCTGCTCGAGTTGGTGTCGATGTCCACCATTACCGACAACCCCAGTAGAAAGAGTTCAGTACAGAGAAAAAATTTGCCATAGGGTGAAGTCACTGTCTTGGCACATCTCTGTCCAGCTTTAATCTTGACTGCCAAAGGATAAACAGACCAATGCTTTGTCACATGATAAACTGACCTACTGACCACAGCGTACTCTCACCTACGTCTTGAAAAGAGAGGAAGATTCACCGTGCTTTCCTCCAAAACAAAGGAGTAACTAAATATGTTGGTGTAGTTAGTTGTGTTTCAATTTATAAGTTTAAATATTTTATTTCCAGGTTTATAATCTTCGTAATCCTAATATCATTGGAGTTAACTTCAAGCCAAAAACGACAACGGCAATATACATGGATGCAAGAAAATGACCGTTTTGACTTCATGGTTGCGATATCATACGATTGGAAACCAATTTGTAGTGGGATACTTGTTCACTACTATTACATAGCCACTGCAGCAACTCCATTCAAGTTTCATGGGTTCAAGTCTGGAAATACTGGATCAAAACGATTAAAATGTCACGTAGTAAGAAAATATTGGAATGAGCAAAAGGAAAATACAATAACTCGTATTGAATATCAATATGAGCATTACGATAAAAAAGCAAAGTGGAGAGGATTCGACAAAAGCAACAAATACGGTCCAGTACATGACTATGCTTTACTCGCATCACAAGACAGTATTCCATACAAAGCAGACTTTGATTATTGGCGCCATCCGTTTTTTATCCAACTAAAGTACTCGAGACTTGTTACTATTAAGTCGACGGGAACTTTTACGATTTGCGGCCACGCGTTCGTTGACCGGACCCACATTCAGCAGAGCATCGAGCTGGAAGCAATCGACTATAGCGTTGAATCTGTTTTGGCTGATTGTGACGAGTGGGTGCCTAGAACTTGGGGTCATTTTATTTGTATTCTAAACATAGAACATTTCATGGGAATAAATTCTGGAGCCGCATTATTGTATAACGGTGTAGTGATTGGCATAGGAAGTTTTAGTTTAGCGAGAGGGAATGAGAGTATATTACTTTTTACTGATTTACGAAGATATAAAAAATATTATATTAAGGTGGCTAAGGCACCAACGGGTGAAATGTGGACCGTAGCAAATTCAGCTATGGGAAGTTTTAGTTTTTTTTAACAAAAATGGTTTTAATGGAGGAAAAAACAAATGGAGTACAAAGTTATTGACCAAAATAAAGTGTCTTCAGCGACGATGCTCCGTTTTCGCGTAACGACAGCTTTCATTACCAAAAAACATAACGTTCCTTTTGGCGCAGTCAATTAAAAAACAAGAAACAGTGAACAGATGAGTTAGGATAAATGAGAAACAAAAATTTAGAGTTCCTCGAAAAAAAAACAAAGGAACCGTTATAAGATTACTTCGTTGACCTGTCTGTCTGGTAAGACCCTTATTCTTAGAAACGCGTGGATTTAACAAGTTAAAATTGACATTAAATATTATTGTCATATCTTAGAATATCAAAACCTACGATTGTAGGTAGTTATAGAAGACTTTCTATTGACATAGAACCTAAAATCTTCACTAAGGTGCCAGGTCTCACAGAACAAGTAATGGGAAAAGACCCGAAAGTCGTCGCTTGTTCTTATATTTTTCCATTTTGTATTAAATAAATACATTGTATTAGGGAACGGCAGAGTTAAGTTACTTACACAATTCTTTATTGAACACCATGGGGTTACAGAGATGTTGAACAGAAACAGTGCGTTATGGACCCCGTCGAGCACGGCAGCATAGGAGAGAGGACGATATTCTTGTTCTTAGCTGGCTTATACTTAACTTTAATATTTATTTATTTTGTAAATATACAATTATGATATAAAATAAGTATTATTACTTATTTACTTACATTACATTTCTATTACATATCAATAAATTACTATCAAGTGTTAGGGTATTATTATTAAGGTATACTTGTATAATATTGTTACGAGCGGGGTAGACAATAAATAAATGTTGTCGGTTAATTACTTTTATTGCACTGTAATTACAAACAATCATTATTACAAACAAGAAATCACTATATAATTCAATAGTTGTACGTTACGTGATACTAGATGGCGCTGTCCTCCATATTCCATACAATTCTTGAATAGTCGAACTTTTTAATTCTATGGCGCAACAATATGGCTTTAATATTTTAAGTAATTTAATATTCCTTTCTAAGCAGTGGTCCATTAAAAGCTGTTGATGAATATTGCTCTCTTCACTTTGAATAGTATCGAATAGAAATTAATAGTTTTGATAGACATGAACACGCTTACTCGGATAAAAATGGCAAACAAATTCAAGAATCGATTTTTGGAACCCTCTGTACGCGAGTCAAACTTGCACTTATCAGAACTTTTACCAAATTAGTAAGTTAGTAAGTTAAATTAGTAAGCGAACCAGATAGTTCCTTTCGTATTTATTATAACACTAGGTTTTGCCTGCGGCTCCGCCCGCGTTATAGCAGTAAAGAATAGCCTATGTTACTCGCTGATAAATAAAATTGAACTGTCCGTTCGGTGTGTCAAAATAATAGGGTTTTTTCATGCTCACACGGTTATTTGCACGATACCTATGCCTAAAAACCACTTTATATATTTTCTGTCCGTCTGTTTGTTAAGGGTAATCTTCAAAACTAGCTACCTGTCTATATAACTAGGTAGCTGTCTATATAAGGAGTAACTTAGGATATTTTTTCTCTTAGAAAAACCCTATAAAATTTTGCCCGGCCCAGGAATCGAACCCACTAAGACAGCTTTCAAATTCCAAGCGAACGAAGTCGCGGGCACCAGCTAGTTTATAACATAATTATAGGTACATCAAATTTAAATTAATTACCCAATTTGACCAAGAACAAATTTCTCCAATCTGAGCCTATATAGGAAGAAAATGGGTGCTATTATCAAAGATATGTTTCTATAACTTCCAAGTCCATTAACCGAATGTCGGCTCCCGAATTCATGGGCCGGGTCTAAGCTCGGTCTTGTAAATAACTTACAGTATCTATAACTTATGTCTCTGACGACATCTTAAGTTTGCTAATACTGTTTCAGAAGCGTGTCTAGGAACGAAGGGTTTGTCCTTCGCGTGAACATGTCACATTAGTTGAAAACTAGTGGTTGGTGGTTGCTTTCTCTAAGTGATATAGGTACACTTTATTTCCTTACATATTATAAATGTAAAATGAGTTTGTTTGTTTGTTACGCTTTTACGCCTAAATCACTAAATCGAAAAACATGTTTTACCAATTGAAACCTTGAAAGATACATTATCAGTGAGTAAAATAGGCTACTTTTACAGCGACAAAGCCGCGCGACGAGCCGCGGGCTGATCATCATTATCAACAGCCTTTACTAGTCCACTGTTGGACATAGGCTTCTCTTTAAGAAGAAGGTTTTGGCCTACTAAACCATCTAGTCCCAAAGTAAGCAGAGCTTGATGATGTGTTGATTATGTGATGTATACTTTATAGGGTTCTGTACCTCAGGAGGAAAAAAAAAACGAAACCCTTATAGGATCACTTTGTTCTCCGTCGGTCTGTTTGTCAAGGCCCTTCATGACCCTTGAACGTGTGGAGGTATCGAGTTGAAATTGAAACCATATACTCGGGTCTACGGTCCTTTGAAGCTGTAAAATAATCAAACTGCTAAGGTAACGTAAAGAAAAGATAGGCCGTTTATGCCAGAAAAAACGCATAGTTAGACAATCTCAAGGGAATCAAAATTCATAGGGTACTTCCCGTTGACCTATAAGTCTGAAATTTGGCATAAATATAGATCGTCTTATACTACAAGTACGGGGCAAAATCTAAAAACTATACATTTGTAAATAAATCATAAAACATAGTCTTTATTAAAAATGTATAATAAATCATCAAGGTACAATTTCTCTTATAAAACTCAAGAATACAATTAATTATAGGTTTTGGAAACTGAATTTCGAGTAAAGCTCGGCAAAAACTGCGGAATTTAATTCCTAAACTATTTATAATATGTACCTACGAGCACTAATGTGTACGGAATCCTAGGTGGGCGAGTGCGCCTTGCACTTGTCCGGATTTTTTGATTATAAATACATACATATTATACACAGAAACTCCCAGACCAAATCAAATATTATTAATATTCATGCACATAAATATTGACTTAAGCGGGAATTGAACGCGCAACCTTTGACGCAGCAGTCCATTATACAAACAACTACGCCATTCGGCCGTCACTCACTCAGTACCAAATCTATTTTGTACATAACTATTCATACTCTTTTTCGTGGGAGAGCCATACCGAAGCAAGGCTTGCCTCCGAAACTAAGTTCGGCACATTTGGTCCGGCTCTATGGGAGTTATACCAGAACCTTCTAGAAAACCGGTATAGAGCAATTATTTCGTTGCTCTTTATCGAGTGAGTGACGTTACCAGAGCACAAACCCAGCCACTTGAAACTCCTGAGTTGCAGGTGTTTATTGGCGGCGGTAGTCACTTTCCAGGTGACCCGTCAGGGCCTCAATTCTGCTATTTTAATATTGTATCAATAGACTGTCGATGGAATGTCATCGGAATAGTTTTACACTTTTTGTATTCTACTAATTATGTAAGACAATTGGCCTCTCGATGACTTGTCACACAAATGTAGTCGATATCTTTGTAACAGTTTGGTAAACGGTACATTTTAAATTTGTAAAAAAATGATATATTTAATTTTCTAGGTAAGGCAATGTTGTCGATATCACCATTAATGACCTATATTATTATATCGACAGTCTATTGATACTTTGAATTTATGTTAGTAGAATACTGATATTTTGACCGATGTCAATGGCGTCTCAGTGGCATCTCAATAGCGTGTCAATGGAATGACAGTGGCTTGGCGTTAACATAACATAGGAGAATTGAGGCCGTGAAATTTTGGCGAAACATAGGCATAAGAATTATTGTCAATTACAGAATATTGTGCATAATGAAATTGATTTTATTAAATTGCATATCCTTAATTGCATTATGTACACTGGTTAATTGGTTTCATGATCTAATCATGCATACATAACTGTATGTACCTAACGTTATGTAAAACCTACTATTTGAACTATTCGTTTCTTTTCAATGTGAGACTCATCCATCCTGCCACACCCTAAATTATTCAAACCGTTACAACAATACCCTCAGACTATACATGTGATAGTCCATCTGTAAGGATTAACTACAAATAGCCGTCGACAAATCTAAGTACATAATGTGTAGGGCGAATTTATCTTGTAACCCTGCTGTCACCGCTGGGCTCATAAGGCGGGTTTTAGCAGTCGTCAGGTGCGGTGGGCCATCAAGTGCTCGTATTCGGGTACTTCGGTCAGAATCACTTGTCGATACTGTTGCTAATATCTCCCTAGGGCGACCCTCTTTGGCCGACATTAGCCAAGGGATTAAGCTAACGTGCGGACTTTAACATAAAATGGGTCAGATTCTGTCACTTTTGTGTATTACGTCTTATGGGTTTTTATGCGTTTTTATTCTTGCTTTTCGATTTATTAAAATATTCTGACACTTTTAGACGTTAATTAGTTTATTACTTCAACCGCCATTTCCTATGATTACCTTTAAAAAGAAATAAACATAACAAAAAGAATTTTTCAAATTGGTATAGAAACGACAGACTTATGAATGCAACAAACGTAAAAAAAAGATACAGCAAAATTGAGAATGTCCAACTTTTTGTAAGTCGATTAAAATCACAAAAACTGTTGCATTAATAAAACCTACTCTAAAAGTTACTTTCTAATTTTAATTCTTTGCTTCACAATTAAATTAAATGAAAATTGCATACAGAAAAAAAGAACAATAGCCAATATTCCTTCCAATCCTTTGACTGCAAGGATGGCGTAGTGGTTTAAGCGGTCGCCACGCCGCTTTCTATTGCGCCGAGTGTTGTGGGTTCAAACCCCACATGGGATAACACTTTGTGTGATCCACAAATTGTTGTTCTGAGTCTGGGTGTGCTTTGTGTCCGTTTCATGTATGTTTGTAAAGTCAACTGCGACACAGGATTTATTCCTAGTGCGGGAGTTGTATTTTTAATAAAAAAAAAAAAAAAAAAAAATCAACCACATTTGCGTTACTCACAAAACCCACGACCCTCTTC